TAAGAGTAAATAAATGAACTTTATATTGTTAATTAAACAACTGGAAAAGAATGAAATGCATAATAATAATCTTGCCTTATACAATAATAATAATAATAATAAATAATAAAAAAAGTGAAAAATTTAGAAAATTTGGGTTCGTTGCATAAAATTTCGTAACAATGACGTATTAAAACAATTTTAAAGCTAGTTTCATAACAGAAAATAATAATTTTAATAATTACGCCTCTGTTAGTCAGTTCATGCACCTGCTTCTTTACCATATTGGTTTTTATACTTTGCTGACTAAACATTTTAAAATGCCTCTTTCATTCTTACACGATAAACATCTTTGTCTAATTTATTTACCAACATCTATCTAGGTATTTAGTACAACTTAAAAAAAACTGGTTAAGTACCTTATTTAAATATGGAAATGTATAAATACAATGTATACTTAATGGTAACATTTTAGGCGAAAAAATATAAAATACTATACTACCTATCTACATATACCTACTTTCGTGATGGACATTTTGTATTTTTGCCAATAGACTATTTTTGCTTCAGTTTATATAATCGTTTTTATAATAAGAAAAATAAATATGTGGCGGCAAACAGAAAATGTACGCGTTGAAGTTGTGTTTAAAGAAAGTAAAGGCCGTTCACATCAATTGAAAACTATGACGAATTCTATTTTTATGTAATTAGGACAGCCAGTCGATTTTTCACTGGTTTTTCGTAGACGATTAAAGAATTTTTACAATTGCGTTAAAAGATTATTTTTGCCAAACGATTGACGTAGGTTTCTAGTAATACTAAATAAGTAAATATAAACAGGACTATTTTGTTGTATTCAAGTGCATTTACCTAACTGAACCGGACATACACACAACCAAACTTATATGGAATCACCCAGTAATTAAAAGAAACAGTATTTTACTTTAAAAAAATTTAATTGGAAATAAAAAGCACCTTATTCTAACCAATTTTAATTAAACTTTACACTAAATTAGAATTTAAGTTTAATGTTTTTTTTTAGTTAATTTGACTATGCGGGGTAAAATTTTTTTTCTTTAAATAAAAATACAGATATACAGGGTGTCCGGGAAAAGGAGGTCAATCCGTTAACCATATATTCTTTGAGTTAAAACAATAAGACTTTCATAATACCATTTTAGAGCTTCATGTTCGATATACAGGGCGACAAAGTTTGAAATTTAAAACTGTTTTTTTTTAATAATTCAAGTAATTGATAAGATATTAAGTTTAAATTCGGTACACTACTTCAACATAAATAGTTACATTTTTTGAGACCAACAAAACAAAAAACAATTGTCAAATAATCAAAATAGGGGGGGTCCAGTACCCACTGACTCCCCCTATTTTTTAGTACGTGCGCCAATGACTTCCAAACGGTATTTTTTCAGGTAATCATTTGTTGTTGAAAATTTTTTGTCTCTTATAAAATTTTGATAAAATGATTTGTTTTAGAGATAATTTGTAAAGTATGGGTCAATCCATATCAAATTTTTAAATTTTTTTTTTTTTTTTTGAAAAAATTAAGGTCATATGATATATCATAAAAAAGGTCTCTAATAGGCCTTTAAAATAAGCCATCACTCACCTTTCTACTTTTAATAGTTTACGAGATATCGCTATTTTTGTAAGTACTTGCAAAACCCAAATTTATCGGAATTTTTTGATTTTCAAAAATCAATAAAACAAAAACCACCCATCAAAAAAAATTCATATATGGGATTTTTGAGTTTTTTAGTGAGGTAAACAAATTTACCAAAAATTATCAAAATCGGAGATGGTGGGGGAAGAACCTTTGGTTGATTTGATATGGACTGACCCATACTTTACAAATTATCTCTAAAACAAATCATTTTATCAAAATTTTATAAGAGACAAATTTTTTTTAACAATAAATGATTACCTGAAAAAATACCGTTTGGAAGTCATTGGCGCACGTACTAAAAATAGGGGGAGTCAGTGAGTACTTGACCCCCCCTATTTTGATTATTTGACAAATGTTTTTTTGTTTTGTTGGTCTCAAAACATGTAACTATTTATGTTGAAGTAGTGTACCGAATTTAAACTTAATATCTTATCAATTACTTGAATTATTAAAAAAAATCAGTTTTAAATATCAAACTTTGTCGCCCTGTATATCGAACATGAAGCTCTAAATTGAAAAATGGTATTATGAAAGTCTTATTGTTTTAACTCAAAGAATATATAGTTAACGGATTGACTTCCTTTTCCCGGACACCCTGTACATAAATAAAATTTACATATACATTTAAAAAAAATTTGCGACGAACACCTTTAAGGTTTTAAAATATTTAGTTGCATTCACTAGAGTTTCAAATAAAATAAATTCAATTTTTAACCCCTAAAATACTTAAATATAAGCGAAAATCAATAATTTCAAGGTCACCACCAAACGCTTGGTTTCTCACGAAATATTTGCTTTTTTATTATTAATGTAATATTTATTATAAATTTAAAATTACTTTATAAGAAGATTTTTATACTTCTCCTACATATGTATGGATATGTATATGGCCCAATATTGGCTCAATATTAATGGGTATCATCTAAATTATTTGTTTACCGTCTAAAAACAATTTTGAAAAAAAAATCCCATGTCGTTTAACCCTGCCTAAATGACATTTTAATGACATGAAATATCTTATATAAACTATAGTTAATTTCCATTTTGTTTTAATATTCTGATAACACTGCTCTGGGATATTCCCAAATCTCTAGGTAATTCTCGTGTGCTTGCATGAGGATTAGCGGCCGTTGCTGCTAATACATTAATTTCATTATTTCCACCTCTCCACTCACTCAACGGTTGAACACTCCCGTTTGTAGTAAACTGCTTGACTGTACGGTAAAATGAAGTACGTGATCGAATTTTATCCGGAAAACGCTGAGCGTAGATATTAACAGCATCATCAAGATTCCTGCCTGCTTCTCCATAAATCAAAATCATTTCTATGTTTTCTTCCACTGTTAAAAAATCCATTATGAATAACTGCTTAACGAAAGGAGGTCTTTTTGTTTTGCAAATTAATCTTCGAACTAAATTGATTAAATAATGCTAAACTATGTATAAAAAGTTTCTTTATACCTCAATAATAATTATTATTTATATCTAAATATCATTTTTTATACCTCAATTAGGAATAAATTAATTAATTCACAAAATAATGTTTTATTTACCTTAAATGAGGTATTTTTATTAAAAATAGTACAATAATCCTTTAAATTAAAGGATTTAATGCTGGCAGGTAAAAAGTGACCATGGTGCGCAATTGATAATTATCACCAAATGAAATAATGTTTAAAACTTAAACCAAAGAAAACTTAAATATTAGTTAAAAAATCGTGGGTACTTAAAAAATCAGATTTAATTCAATAAGATAATTATCCCCAAAAAAGTAATATTTTTATAGAAATATTATTGCAGAATCGTATACAGAAGAAAAATCGAACAAAATACATTTTTTTTCATTACAGCGCCATCTATTACGAATATGAAAGAATGTTTTAAAAAAAATCTACCTATTTTTAGTCGAATGATCCGAATCTGCAATAAAAAATAGGGTGTCCCATTGGAAATTTTAAAGTTACCCCCTGTTCCCCCTATAAGGAGGAGAGTATGAGGACCAATTTTAGTACTGATTGTTTTCCTCGAATCATTTAATTTTTATTTTAAACATTTTTTCGTAAAATGCATACTAACTGAGATATTTCAAAGTTTCAATTTAAATTACTCACCCTGTATACAGATATATTTACACTACTACAAAAATTACTTAATTACTAAATCTTTTAATTGTATATCTAATCAAATGCATTTTTAAAATTAGTGCGTAATAATTTATTACGCGTTAAAAAATAAAATCATATACATACATAGGTATTATTAGTAACTATTAAGATTAACAAGTTTAAATTATTTTGGGTAAATTTTGCCAATTTTAGCTTTTTACACACTGAATTCGAAAAATATTTCGCAAGATTAGAAATCATTTTGTTCATTTCTTAAAAAATTGCGACTTCACTTTCTGTCGAAAATGATATCTACAGAAACGATTATCCAATTAAAACACGGCATTCTCCATCGTAGCTAGTGTGCTGTGGAGATACCGTCCTCTGGTTTATTGTTTTCTATAGATATCATTTTCTATAAAAAGTTTCATAATCCATTAAAATTACATATATTTAAACCCAAAAACTAGGTATACAAAAAACAAAGTAGGTAAATGTTACCTAATCTTTTTAATTGTATTTGTGCTATCTATAGATTATAATCAAACAAGCATTTTTGATTAGCGCGTACTACTACTACTTTATTACGCGTCTAAAATAAATCTTGAGCTTTCTAAATAAAAAAATATAGCAGTTTATTTCGATTTCGTTAAAACATGAGGCAAGGTCAATGTATATATATTTTATTTAAAACATAAATCTAATTTAATATATATTTTTTATAAATACTTTTATCATTTAATTAAGTTATTAATAAATAATAATAATATAATGTTTTAATTTATATATTATTTACTCGCGTTATGTAACTAATTTAATAACAACAAATATAAATTTTGTTTATAACCTTATAACAAAATTAATGCATTTTAAAAATCTTTAAGACTTGTAAATCTGGTTTACTAATATTATAAACAACATTTAAAATTCAAAAATACCTGACTAACCCTTCCAAGAACTCAATTTAACTGAATCATATATTTAACGGTTTTTCTAATATAGCAAAATATAAAATTTCCCATATGTGTTTGAACATATGTAGGCTTTAAAAAATAGTTGCCATTAAAAAAATTGTATTAAATTCACAACCAAAGCTGAATTAGCATTTTATTTGTATAAATAGTAATATTTACATTTACAGCTTATTAAATAATATTAGGTAATAGTTAACAGTTTATTTATTTTTTTTATTTGAAAAGTATTTTTATTTACTAATGACTTTTTTATTTCAGCAAACTGTGCATGGGTCCAAACACTTTGGAAATAAGCCCTGAGCTATTTCAATTAAATAGAAAACGTCTAGTGGAGGCGTTACGAAAACAAAATCTTACTTCAGTTGTTTTACTACAGGGAGGTAGTGAAATACCGTTTTATGACACAGACACCAGCTATCTATTTAGACAGGTAATTTTTTTTAAAAATATTGGTGCCAAAAATTTCCAGATGATGCAAATAGTTTTTTTTGCACACTATTGTTTTACTTTAATTCATAGTTTATTACTGTTTATTAAATAAAACTTTTTATTCTACTTATACTTCATCTACCGCATCCGCTTCGTTTCGCTTCCTCAAAAATTAAAATTTGTTTCCGATTCGGCTTCTGTTATGGTGGCTTTCTTTGCATAACTAATTAGTACGAGATAGCATAAATATTTTGATTTCTTATAATAATCGCAATAACCAAATCCGGTTAAAGAGCTATTAATAACAAATGTATTTAAAAATAAAAGTTTCCTTACATTGTGATTTACGAATTACTCATTGTAGCAATTTATAATAAATTTGAAAGTTCAATGCGTAATTTCTAGTTATCGTCACATTTACTTTATTAATCCCAAGCAGCATTTTTGGTTCCAAAAACCATTGCCAAAGTGGTGATAACTTTAAATTAGTTAAGTATACTAAACAGCTACTTTAATTTTTACTTAAAAGTAATTCTAACTTTTAAATAGCAATATTTTGTAACAGAAACTTAATTTTTCCTTAAATGGTTACTATAAAGTAATAAACATTTAAGTAAAACTTGGTTGCCCCCAAGAAGACTTTGCAACTTTAAAAAAGGTGTTATAAGTAAAAAAAACTTTCAAGTAAATTTAATTTGTAGCAGTTACTTTCGGTTTCTACCTAAAGATTACAATATAATTATTTTTACTTTGTAGTCCCTTTGCAAGTTAAAATATCGAAACTGGAACATGAGTTAAAAACTACAAAGTTAATAACTTATTAGTTATTATTTTAGTATTTGGAACGTTTATGGTACTAACCAAAACAACCGTAAAGTGGAAAAAAACTTTAAAGTAGCGAAAACTACTTCAAAGGAAAATGCTTCTTATCGGCCATGTTTTACTGTACACTGTACTGTACATTGTACAGTAACACGTGGTAATGTAAATAATAATTTATTTTAATTGTTTGTAAATGTTTGTTTACTTTTTAATAAATAGTAATTTTGTCGGTAATAGATGGTATTAATAATTAAATAAAAAAATTAATAATAAATATTAATTTTTTTTATTTATAATCATTATTAAATAAATATATTTGTTTATACTTAAATATTGATGAAGCGCATTTATTTTACAAAAACTAAATTCATAAGTTCAACAGTAAAATTTAAAGGGTTCATAAATTTACCTGCCTAATTAAACATTATATTGTTATTCTGGAAGTTATAAACTACCAGTACATATTTAATAAAGGAGGGATAGTATAATCTAATATAAGTTTGACAAAGACAGTTAATATAGAAGTAAAAACAAATAAATAAAAGTAATTATAAAGCTCTAGCAACGTAGCAGCTACGTTCCAAATGGTAGCAGGGTTTATAGCTAGTGACATATTTGTTACCTTTTTGGAACTCAATAATTGTTCCCCACTTTAGTCGTAACTTAGTAATAAAAGAGTAATATAAAGAGACTGGCGACTGTCGCAAAACACTTTTAAGTTTCTTCAATAGTCCCATATACGTAACAAATACTTAAATTGTTGCTTGGGATGGCAATGCACAAAGCGTAGTAAAAAAATTGTTGAGTTAAATAATAAAAACTAAATTGCCAACAAATCTTAACAACGCTTTGTGTCACGAAGTCTACAATCATATTAATAACACTTTTGTAGAAATGCTTTGACTTGTATTGTTGGCACTGTCTACTTGACAGATAAGTATTTTGGTTTTGAGGTTACGTTTCTTAAATTGTTTTCTGTGGTTTATTATTACGCCGTGACTAGAAGTACACCGGGAGTACCGCTATTAAAAGTACATCAGGTTTGTGCGCATGCGTGTTTCCATAACAGCTGATGGTAAAATTTCGGATTTATTAGTTGACATTAAATTGGTACACTAAGGCCCAGTTGTATAACAGTTGGTAAAGAGCTGGTTAACTCTTGATATTAATTATGTAATTATTAAGCTAACTTTCAAGTTGTATAAACATTGATTAAAATTTAATTAAGTGATTGAAATACAATTAACAACAAAATTAATGAAATGTCAGTATGAATTACCCAAACCAACCCAAACTCAACAACCCAACCCAACCGACCCCGCCCCATTGGGCCCCCTGCCCCATTGAGCGACCATTTAATATTATACAATTGAGAAATATGCTAAATAAGGATTTTTTTCCACCCGGTGTACTTTTAATAGCGGTACTCCCGGTGTACTTCTAGTCACTTTGTTATTATTAACCTTAAAATTTAATTCCTTCGGGACAAAATGGATTTTTCCACTCCAAACATATTACGTACGTATGTATGTATATAAAATAAAAGTAAACAAAAATTTTGTTTTGTTTTTGGGTTATTTTAATAAAGATAAAACCATGTTTATTTACTTTACTTTAATATCACGCTTTAACGACAATGTACACTGACAGGCAAAATTATCACATCAATTAAAAAATTTTACTAAACAGAATATGTTGTACGAATATTTAAAAACCAATAATATATTATTATTTAATTGTTACCTGCCTAGTATTAAATATAACATTGTAGGTATTAACTAAAATTTAATTTTTATTTGCACACAGATTTTTTGACAACAAATATTTCAAAACACAGACAACCTTGACGAAAAAAAATGTTTTCTATCAAGGCTAGAAATAATTAAGTTTTACAATTATTAATAAACCAATAATTTTTTGGTTACATTCAAGGAGAAAAAGTTAATTTAAATTTAACCTATATTGTTAAAATAATAGTTTTTTTTTTAAATTTGAATCCATTTCCCGACATTTACTTTCTATAGAAAATAATCTCTACGCCAATCAGAGCAGCTATGTATAGTGTGCTGTGAAGAATGCCGTGCTCTCATTGGTTTATTGCTTTCTTTAGAGATCATTTTTTGTATAGAGGAAATTCGCAGTGATAAAAACCGTAAATAGTTTGATAAAACAGTAATTTTTAATTTACATTTTACAGAGTGTCCTTAAATTTGCGATAAGAAAATAAATGTTTTTTTTCTGAATGATTTATAATTTTTTTTTGGTGGAAACATACATTGTTGATTTTTCGACAGGTTTATGAAGCGTTAATGGTTCGAAGGAAAAAATTCACCTGTAAATTTGGTCATTAAAAGATTATGTTATGTTCCATCTGCAGATGTTTTTTCGCTGTTTGGGTGGCTGACCTAGTTTAAAAGCACGGTCAATGGTCGCTGGCTGACGTACGATATTCGCGAATAAAGAAAGGCTGTAAATTGAAGACTTAGAAAGTTTCAATTGTTACCAAATATTCGCAAAGATACATTGCTACATACATAATATTTTTTTGCCTCACTGAAACATATTTTTAATAATAGGTAACAGCAATAATATTGACAATATTAGCTAGTAGTCAAGGATTTTCCATTTAGGTTATTAGTATTTACTATACTGTTTATTGTCGTTAAATGGGATAAAGGTGTTGCGAAATCCTGCTACTCAATGAAAATATTAGTAAACCATATTAGTCACCGAATTTGTATACGTAACATAATCAATAATCGGATTTTATTGCCCTTTAAATATACATTTTAGAATTTAAAATGCTTCAACCACAGGGAAAAGTTTTGATTTGAATTTTGGATTGTGAAACATGTATTTTAATAATTTACTAAATAATAAAAATAATTCAAATCATAACTTTTTTGTAGCTACAATAAATAATGATTCAGCACTAAATTACATAATTTAGGACCAAGGTGAGTAAACTAAAATAATCGTCAACGTTTTAACAAAATGTTAGAATGTTACAATATTCGGATAACCTGCTTAGCAGGTTTAAATAATTACAATTTGAAAATAATTAGATGTATATGTATGTAAACGTAGTCTAGACTATACCCATTCTATTCGTTAAAAATATCAACGAGTCCGCAAACTTCCTGCTTAAAATTATGGCCACGTATACTGAAAATGTTTACCACTAATTCATGTTTGTTTATTTACCTTTAAGTTTATTTACACAACAATAAATCAATTTCTTTAATTTTATTCTTAGATAAAAATAGTGCAAAAAATGTATTGTGGGCGATTCCAGAGAAATGCATAAAACTCAAATATATTTACAAGAAGTCGACTTTATGCTAAAAATACAATGTTCTTGAAAAATAACATTTATATGAATATAGGTTCGGTTTTATCATATGCCAATATATTTTTTAATAGAGCTCTAGCGTACAGTAAAAAAGTTAAATCTGGTAGTTTTTTTAGAAAACATTTATTGAGGAAGGAATATTTTCGGGTTAAATAAAATAAATGCTATACTTATTAAATTTTTGACAGATCAATAAAGTAAAAAATCGATATGGTTAGCCAAAAATTACATAATTTGCGATTAAAACATAATAAACTATAATTTACCATCTACTTGGGGTAGCGAACGTTGACGAAGCATTACACGCCACGTGCTGGCAATAGGTATAAAAATAAATATAAACATAAATCCATAATTTATTTTTGTCCAAAACGCATTTACTTTTATATCATTTTTAAAGGAATCCTATTTTACCTGGCTGTTTGGCGTAACCGAAGCAGACTGTTATGGAGTCGTGGACGTGCAAAGTGGCGAAGCCCATTTATTTGTACCCAGGTTGCCCGAGGCATACGCTGTTTGGATGGGACCTCTGCATACCCTTGAAGATTTCAGCAAAAAATATGACATCGGCAATGTTTACTACACTAACGAGGTAAATATAAACATAAAAATAGTCTTGATTTTTTAATATGGGTAAACATTTTAAGTCAAGGGCGTTAAATCGAGACTTCTTGGTGGCCAATTTTGATCTCGATATCTGCCGGTTGAATTAAAAGGCAGTAGTGGCTAATAAATAAATAAACTACATTTACCTAGTTTGAAACAGAGGTCATTAATGGTAAAAAGTACTTTGTGCTCTATATTTGGTTTCTTTTTGCTTAATGATGTTAATCTTGAATAAATTAAACATCTGTTTGTTGTTATGACCCAATTTTCCCTACTATTATTTTTATTGTTTAATAACAACAATAATAGAATAAACAACAACCTTAAATAAACTATTTATTAAGTACACTTAATGTATGTACCATATTTTTTCAAATCTACTAATTATCTAGTTAAATAAAAAAACGGTCATATAACTTTACAAACAAGCCTGCTTTAAAAGAATGTTTAGTCGTGTTGTGTTAAAAGAAATATAGTTAAGAATGGAGTATTTTTAAATTTCAATTAATATGAAAACAATTTAATTAGGAGCCAGTGGCGGCTGGTGGATTTTGGGTATACCAATATTTCACTTATTAGACATGGGACCCACACCAAATTTATAATAGTTTATAATGACATTAAATAGACAAGTTCGGCGCAAACAGAATTTAAATTAAAGTGATGCAATTTATTATCTACTATAATTTATCGACAAATTTAATATTTTATTTAAAAAATCCAAATATTACAGGTTTTATACTATTTTAAATATTTTTTTATCTTAATAAAATAAATAATAAAAATTTAAAATCGAATAAAATCTGTAATATTTGTATTTTTTAAATAAAATTTTAAATTTGTTGATAAATTATAGTAGATAATAAATTGCACCACTTTAATTTGAATTATCTCAAAGGGGGTCTGGACGCGGGTGAGGCGACAGGAAAAACTAACTTTTTTTCGCAAACTTCAATTTAAATTCTGTTTGCGCCGAACTTGTTTATTTAATGTCATTATAAACTATTATAAATTTGTTGTGGGTCCCATGTCTAATAATTGAGATATTGGTATACATAAAATCCACCAGCCGCCACTGTTAGGAGCATTGATAACCAGTTTATTAATAGGATTTACCGATCCTTTGTATTAAAAACAATAATAATTGCGTAAATCGTAACCATATAATTGTAATTATTATTCCCGGGGCATTCGCAATTTTGACACTTGTTACTTTTTAATAATAAATAAAGTCCTCGGCATAACTCGTTTAAGACAAGACTATTAACCAAATTAAATAACCGTTGTTTTTTATTAAACAACTATTAAACAATAATGTCAGCATCTATTTAACTAAAAATTTAAAATGTCACCTATTTAGTTTAAACGAATATTTATTAATCGTATGTTTTAGCTTACCACGGTTCTTAAAAAACTTGCAAAGAACTCGGAACTTTTAGTCTTGGTAAGTCAGGTTGAGAAGTGGGTGGTAATATGGACCCCTACATTATTCTATTGGGGAAAACGTATTACCTCCTTCTCTTTTAAAGTTTAATTTGTATATTATTGTGTGGTTTTATTTTTAAGTCTGGAGTTAACAGCGATAGCGGACTTAGCTTTAAGGAACCCACCTTTGATGGAATAGAGGAGTAAGTTTATAAAACTAATTTTTCTTTGCATACCTAATGGTTCAAGACTATTTGGTGATGAATGTTTAGACCCTTGGCAACATTTATAAGGCATTCAATTTTTTTAGATTCAAAGTGAACAACAAGGATCTAACTCCAATAGTAGCTGATCTTCGTGTCTACAAGACTGATTTGGAGCTGGAAGTGATCAAGTATGTGGTGGAGGTGTCTTCAGCTGCCCATAGAAAGGTGATGCGTTTCGCAAAACCCGGCCTATTTGAATATCAATGCGAAGCGGAGTTTTTGAATCACTGTTACGCTGTCGGCGGATGCCGCCATGTTGGGTACACCTGCATATGCGGATCGGGAGTCAACGGAGCTGTTTTGCATTACGGCCACGCTGGCGCTCCTAATAATTACCCCTTGAAGGAGACCGATATGTGGTGAGAATTTTGAAATCTGATGGTGACAATATTTTTTTAATGCCACTTGCTTTTAGCCTGTTCGACATGGGTGGCTCATATTTCGGCTACACCGCCGACATAACCTGCTCGTTTCCGGCCAGTGGAAAATTCACCCCCGATCAAAAAATGATCTACGAAGCTGTTTTAGCTGCGAGCTTAGCAGTTTTCGAGGCCGCCAAGCCGACCGTCTCGTGGCGTGACATGCACGTGCTTGCTAACAGGGTGCTTCTGGAAAAACTGAAGGAAGGCGGCCTTCTCAAAGGCGATGTAACCGAGATGTTGGCAGCTGGTTTAGCTGCAACATTTCAGCCTCACGGTTTGGGGCACTTCATGGGTCTTGATGTGCACGATGTCGGTGGCTATCTGAATGGCCAGCCTGAAAGGTGCGATAAGCCTGGTTTAAAAAATTTAAGGACCGCCAGGATCCTGGATGAAAGAATGGTTTTGACTATTGAACCTGGCTGTTATTTTATCGATCCAGTAAGTATGTTCCTCCAGGAGTTTTTGAGGATGGTTCAAGTCCAAAAAAAGTTTTTATCCAAAATTTTGTTTTAGCTTTTGGACGCTGCACTGTCCGATGAGAAGCTCTCGAAATTTTTGGTACCAGAACATTTGAAGAGATTCAGAAATTTCGGTGGCGTAAGAATTGAAGATGACGTTGTAATAACAAAAGAAGGATGTGTTAATTTAACTAAAGTGCCTAGAACGTAAGTTTTTTTTCTTAAAAAATCGACAATTTTTTGGTTTGTGTTTTTTTAGTGTTGAAGAAATTGAAAACTGGATTGCCGGAAAAGACAACGAAAAATACAATTAAATGCCAAAATATTTCATTCCAAATTTAAAATGACCAATATGTTTAATATATAAATATTTTAATAATAATATAATAATTGAAGATTTAAATGCTTTCTTAACGCCATTTGACAAAACCTCCCTTTATATCCCAACCTGTATAAAAGTTAGTATGCTTTATTGGATGGGTGGATGGCTTTGGTTGGTGGAGGGTTGCCATAATTTTGCCCTTTATGCTTCCTCCAATAGCTCCTTTTTTATTCTTGCTCATCTCTATGGATGTGGAGCTAATATCGGTTGTCTCAACCCATTCATCTCCTAAATTGGACCTTCTAAACCCAAGAAGAGTAAGGTATTTGTTATAATTCCAGCTGCAGACTATATTTTGCCAACCTGTCAGACGGATTGCTAATTATAGTTTTGGCCTGACGGCAAGTACTTCAGTTAACCCATCTGTGTATTTGTTTTTCGTGGTTTGATTTCTTTATTCGGGAATTCAAGGCAGGTCTTGGTATAGGCAACCTATTTGCTTTGCAAGTTCATATGCCTTTTTGATTTCATTTATTTTTATTATGCACACAACCCATTCCAGTTCTATGACATTGTTTGTTAAAATCAGCTTCAAAGTAGCAATGCATTTTGCCACCAGCCCTGAATCAACTTTGTTGTTGCTCAAGGTCAGTATGGACGCCCTACTATCTAAAGAGATTCTTATTATTTTACCATTTACATTTTCGGCTATTTCTCGATCAGCTTCCAGTATGCCTGGAATATTGTCGAATGTGTACTCAGTGATATGCTGAGACATATTGATGGGTTTTAACGGTACACCCCTGCTCCAAAGCTTATTTAATTTCTGGATCCATCTGTAATTCACCCATTCTCGCTAGGGGGTGTTAAAGTTGTAGCTTGGTACAATGTGGTCACGCATTGTTTTTGGAACACTCTTATTCAGTATGCAAGTATGACGATTGTTTAAGTTGTTTCCTTTCCACATTTTGGTGGTAAGCCTGAGAAACGATCTCAACCCAACTAGCATTTTTATATTTTATAATACTTGCCAAAACGCTTCCTACACAAAAATTATAAAACAAACATAACTCTCAGAAACGTTTTTAAAATGTTTATAAGATAGCTATAAATGTAAAATTGGCACCACTTTATAAAACATTTCAGTTTTGGTTAGTATTTTGTAAAAGCTTTTGGAAACATAATAAAATTATTTTATAAACATTTCGGCAAGTCTTATAAAAACTTTACAAAAGCATTATAAAACAGTTTTGTTAAAGCTTTTTATACTGCGCTATAAAATATACTTTACAAAAGTATAAACATTTCTATAAAACAACTATACAATTTTATAATAGCTTCATAAAAACAATATAAAATAAAAATGCATATTGGAATTACAGTAACAAAATAAAAAGGTTTTTTAAAGATGTTCTGTAGCTGCAATTGAGGCCATTAGCAAAGAAGCCATTTTAATAATACCTTAAACACTATATCTATTATTTGGAAACTTTATTTTTGCTACAGGGATAGACATTTTTGATACCAGGGAAATTTTATTGAGAAATATATAGCATATTTCTAACAAAATTTAAGTGCGCCCCGTATTTTCAAGTGTTTTAGGAATATTTTTTAAATAACCATAAAACTAGCTTCCTCGCTATGATAATTTTATACAGAAAAACTTAAACCGATTGGTTGTAGAGGTAACTAATAATAATTTTTATGTATTTTACCTTCTGCAAGTGTTATTATACGTGTGATATTTAGTATTTTAAATTCAACTTATTTCGATTCCTTGGGGTACACCCATTTTAAAATGGCGTTTTTCTATAAAATAATTTACTTTTAGGCGCAACCATTATAAAACAATTTAAATTACTAGGCAACCTTTATAAAATATTTTGTGTAGGCTAATGATACATATTGTCACAGGGTCGGAGTTTGTAAAATTTCTTTTCGCACTCGAATATTTTTAGAAAATTATTAATTTTTAAAATACTCTCAAACTTTTTTCTGTTTAATGGCTTCAAAAATAGGCAAAAAATATTGGGTGGACCAGAAAAACATTTAAAAAAACATGAAAAAGTTTTAAGAGGTAAAAAAGGAAGCTTAAAGAGGTAAAGTGGTACTTTATCTCGAGATAAAGTACCACTTAACTTCCGCTAAACTGTATAATAACGAAAATGCTCAACAATAAATTAGCCCTTTACTAAACAAATAACGCCGACAAATTTCATCAAAATTGAGTAAAGTATATTCAAGATATATTTAAGATAGAAATTTTTTTTAACACCCTCTGTATCTTGAAAACTAAGCACATTTCCTAAATTAGGAATCTTAGGAATCCTAACCCATGTTTACATTGATTTTTCATCTTAAAATTATCTAAAGAATTAGCCTGATGAAGTTTGAACACCCTGTAGAGTAATTATAATTAACTCCCGAATTTACTTTTTTTGCTATAGCTTTTTTATAAAAAAACTAAAAAGTTATTAACGATTTGATCAAAAATAGAAAAAAAAATTGTAACAATAAAAATACGTAAAAAGTATACTTTCTATAGCAAAAATTGTATGACACCGCGAGGGCGCGCCCTCCTCTACTGTAGGTCTTAGGTAAAAATTAACATAAAAAATGGATTCCTCGACCATATTGTTAAAATAATTTTGAAAAATTAACATGGATTTATAAAATTTTACATAACTTTTTGGTACCAACTCTATATGTATAATAAACAACTGAGGCGTGATCCAAAAAAACCCTGGTTTTGTTGTAGAAGCTATTAAATTTCATTGGTTTCAAACCATTTCCTTTTGCACTGTGTTATTATAATACAATACTTTATAGCTATATAAGCGAGAATAAAATTATTTTTAAAAAATCAAAAAACGTTATAATACCGCCCTGTTCCCAAAATATTTAAAAAAACATGGTGAAAAAAACTGTCTTGTTTGAGAGCCTATATTGCTAAATGGCAACTTTTTTGATACCTCGCGACTTTTTAGCGACTCTAATAAAACATATTTATTGCCATTGATACATTTTAACACCACACGCCACTTTTATACAATCATTGCGGTGCAAATAAGAGTGCCTATATTGCTAACTGGCAACTTTTTTACGAACACGCGACTTTTTGGCGACTCTAATAAAACAATAAAATGTTATTAGTACTGACACTTTTTGGCAACTCTAATAAAACATATTTGTTGCCATTCATACATTTTAATACCACAGGCGATTTTTATACGGTCATTGCCGAGTAAATTGCTAACTCGCGACTTTTTGGCAACTCTAATAAAACAGTAAAATGTTACTAGTACTGACACTTGTGAGGTCTGAAGCACTGTTGTTAAAATTGGTAGATTCCTGCTTTATGTTTAAATGATCCGTTTTATCATTGTCGAAACTGGAATCATTATTATCACTACTGATAATTTTTTCGTAACATCTTTTTAGTCTTCTGCGGAAGGCGCCACTTTTCTTATTTTTTTTTTCCACTGCGATAATTGCGACATTTTTATTTATGAAACATTGAACACACTGAACTAATGAAAATTAAGTACTCCACATCAGCTAATTCAACATAAATTTGTTTTATTATATCAAAATGATAACTATTTAGTTTTATAAGAACTTTGTTATTGCTTTTATATTGTAACCCAAATAACATAATATAAAGCAGTTTTATATTGATTACTAAAGAAACACTTTACTTGAAGAAACGAAATAGTTCTCATTTATACTTTAATATAATTGTTTTATTAAAGCTATAAAACGCGACTATAAAATAGTTTTATAATATATTTATAAGAGTCTTAATAATATCGCCAAAATTTACTAAAAACAATTATAAAACAATTTTATTTTATAGGTTTAACTTTTGTATTAGTTTTATTGTGTTGATCATAGAAACGTTTTTACGATAAATTTATAAAACATTTCATTTTTAACAACAGAATAGAGTTCATCACTTCTCTTATAAAATTAATTAGTATTTTGGAAGTAATAATAAAATAAGAATAAAATAAAACAGTCGCAGTGCGATGAAATTATAAAATTACTTTGCTGGTTGGGAATGCACTTCGATTCTATGGATGCTGTTGTAGTCGTAACCATTCCACCGGTGATAGCAAGGCACGTGCTGTATCTGTTTTACTGCAGTAGTTTGTCTTATTTTGAGGGAGGACTATCTTTGGAGACAGTTCTCCCGACTGCTCTTCTTCACTACCAGAAAGGCCTTCTGAACCTTGTGCTTTAGAGTATTTGACTTGGTTTGAAAGTTCCAGACTGGTTCCAGATAACTTAGGCTTTTTGAGAGAGCTAATTATTTATTTTATTGTGAAGAGAATTAGTTGCGTTTTTGATGAATTCACAGAGTTTCCCTTGCACCATTTGTCAACTATTTTGTACGGGGTCGCAGATACTGCTCTCAATTTTACCCGTTAGCATCATGCTAATAGCATGATGGTGATATCATCTGCATAACCAAAGGTAGTGGAAACAATGTTGTTGAGGGATTCAACCATTAAATTCGGCGAGATGACTTTACCTTGAGGGCAGCCTTTTATTACCACACCTCTAGTTCTCCTACACTGACAGCTATGCGTTGTAACATGTGCCTTGAGCAGAGCATAGGCCATAGTACTCGAATTACTATTATTATTATATGATACGACAGTAGCGGCTCGTGACCTGTTTAAGGCTAGACTAAACATTTTGCAGCTCTGTATATATACGTAAACACGGTCTATTCTCATTTGCACGCTTGCTCCAGTTTCATTGGCCATTGGTCGGCTCAAGGTCGACCGCTTGTTTTGTGACGTACACCGCCAGTACTGCAACAAGCAGATTTCTAATAGGTGCTACAGCTTTCATACACTAGCCAGTGGCGGCTCGTGGGTGTACAGGAGGGTGAGGCTACATAAGGTTAATTTTGTCTAAATACGAATAAATTTCCACGTCACCCGGGAGGTATTATTCTGCGACGCGTTGACTTTTTTTAAAATGGAGCCGATAGCACTACTAAACCAAAAAATAAACTCTAAAGAACAAAACAAACAAAATATCACATCAAAGACTAGTTTTAATCTTAAACTTAAAATATAGTCTTAAAAAAGTTAAAAATAAATAAATTAATCAAAAAATAAAAATAAAACTAAAAAGTCGAAATACTATACGTCTATCTTTTAAGATTGAAAATTTATCTATTATTTGGTCGTAAAATTGTGGGTCTGCAGTGAGATTTAAAAGTAATTCTAAATTTTCAAACCGCGTCTCTAATTGAAGAATTATGCAATCTATTATTTCAAAATATAAAATTTGCTTAATAAAAACTGCTAAATCTACCTTAGTGTGTTCCCTACAATAATTAAATAAGAAATTTTACTAATCGAGACAAAAACTATAAAAGATCAGCCAAAAGTTTTAAATAATTTAATCTGAATCAAAACAATAACGTGCTCTACAAACGCTAAGAGAAGACTTGCAACCTTCTTTGTCTCCGCTGGCATCCCACCATAAACGGACCACCAATCAGAACAAACCAAGCTAACTAAATATCGCCTCATCTACGGTGTTTATTCGCGAACTTGCGGCGATATTTTTGTTGGTGAGTCATTTTCGCTTTCAAGAGGTAAATGGGAGCTTCCGAGGCTGTGAAAATTTCGCCTCTGTCCAAGCGACTTTCAACGATGCACGTTAACTTGACGCGCTTTGCGCCTGGATTTTTATTTACGCTTAGTATGATTGATTGGTTTTTTACTTTTTATTGGGTAGAACTGTTGTAAAAATACGCTTGTAATAGGCAAAAATATAAATACAAAAAGTCGTTCGTTCCTTCATTTTAAGGGTGAGGCGCGGCCTCAGAGGCCTACCCTGACGAGCCGCCACTGACACTAGCCGCCACTGTGATACGATATCGATATTTTGACGTAAAAAAACAATAAAATATTTAATTTTAATTTCATTTAATAATTATGTTATATAGTGGATAAAAATCTAATTTTTAAATAGTTACAATACGTTTAGTCATATCACATTTAGTATTTACATTAAGTATTTATAATTTAACAAGTATGTCTAAAAAACCTTTATAATTATCGATAGATCTATAACAAACCTTTTTTCAATTTATTAATGTAATTTTAGAACTCTATAACTAAATAAAATACTATACTATACGCTACTTCTTAACTAAAAAACATTTATAATATAAATATTACGTACAGTGTTGTTACAAGTAAAAAAATATTTGTACCAGTTTCTAGGGAATTATTGTACCACATTGTACCAACATTAAAAATTGTTCAAAATGGCGGAAAATACAAATTTTAAAATTTATTAAAAAATGCATATTTATTTAAAAATATATAAATAAAACGTATATAATATATGTTATAAAATAAAACAGTCTTTCTATCACAAAAATAAAAACAAAATATCAGTTAAATAAATAAAATACCTTTGGTTAATAAGACTAAAGAGATGGCGCTGGCACAAAAATGAAAAATAAATTGAAAAAACAAAAATAAAAAAAACAATTTTTAAAAATTGTACCAAATTTGCCATTGTGGTACCATTTATGCATATTTATTTAAAAATATATAAATAAAACGTATATAATATATGTTATAAAATAAAACAGCCTTACTATCACAAAAATAAAAACAAAATATCAGTTAAATAAATAAATGTATTTCTTACTAGAAAATAAAATACCTTTGGTCAATAAGACTAAAGAGATGGCGCTGGCACAAAAATGAAAAATAAATTGAAAAAACAAAAATAAAAGAACAATTTTTAAAAATTGTACCAAATTTGCCATTGTGGTACCATTGTACCAGATAATTCTCAAATGTACCGAATTTGGTACAATTGTACCAATTGTAACAACACTGATTACGTAATGATAAAGTATTTAAAATTGGAATACCTATATAGAAAATCCTCACGAAAATTTTAATTTATGCAAATTTCTGCCTTATGTTTGATATATTTTTGTAATATAAAGCAGAAAAAGAGTATTTTCTAACCCGGTGTAATTTTTTTTTGTAAAAAGTAGAAAATTTAGTTTAATGTTAATTTTATCATCTCATTCATTTTGGAAAATACAAAGCTAGAAATAAAAATAAACTTCAAAGATCTTTTTTAATCAATAAAAATGTAAAACAATGATATAACGGAAATATTAAAATTGTTTATTTGCACAGTGCGCGCTTAAAATAGTATTTTCATTGACAGGAATATAAAAAGTTCATCGCACCGCATAAGTAGGAACTTGAACAAAAAGAAGACGTTTTGTATTTTCGTGAGAATGTGCCATATATTTATTAATCACTGAAATGATATTTTTGGGGAGCATTTGAGTTACACAATGGTAACTCTCCACTGCTTTCATCTGATCAGAGTGGATCTTGTCTGAGAACCGTTTCTGGAGATGTGTCTTAACGTAAAACTATTTTTTGAAGTTCTCTTGTCTGAAGTGCAACACAAGGCTCTGACGAAACTTTCTCGAAAACTTCTCGACATGAAACCGTAGATAATTGGGTTTATGCAGCTAAAACAAACAATTTTGTAATAATTTTAGTATTAAGTATGTTCCTACAGAGCATTTGGACTATCAGGAACATGTGCAATACGAACATATGGATCCCATTTGGGTCTAAATGCTCGCTAGGAACTTCTTCTTCTAAAACAGTTTATTCTCTCTTTTGAGAGAATTGGCTCACAGACACGAAATTTTTAAATCTTGAAACAACCACTCAATCTATTGTACAAATCACAAAATACCTCGCAATAAATATATAGGATATTTATATATATTTATATACCGGGAATACGATTTTATGTCTCATACTATTTCAACAAGTCTATCATATTACCTATTACAGTACGCCAAGAGGTGAAAAGTAGTCAACATATACTTCAAAGTCCCAACTCGTTCAGTTGGTAATATGTTGTAAGCCGTTAATACATTGTCAACCAATAATGGAGTCCAACAAATAACAAATAGGACGACGACGGCAATAAGCATGTAAATAACTTGTTTAACCATCTGCGTATCGTCCCTTGTACTTCTTGTTCTCGTTAATTTATCAGAATTTCCTAGTTGAAGGCTTTCTTTGCATTGTTCATCGTGTATTGATGAATGATTTCTTGTTAAACTAAAAAAGGAACATGTTTAGACAGTTTAAATGTTTAGTTTTAGGACATATTTGTATTTTCGTTTATTCAATCAGGAGTGCCATAACTCCTGGGGTCAAAAACTTGTAAATTATAATTAATTTATGTTACGTAACTTCAAGTTAAATTAACCGCATTGATTTTTGTGAATCAACATACGCAAATACAAAGGTAAAACTTAATTAATGTTTTCAAAGGGAAGACTCAATTTTACAAGGCAAATACACAATTGCATATTTCTTTGTGAATTTTATTGCGAGTTCAAAGAAGTTACATGTTACTCATTTTTTTATACAGGGTGTCACCAAATAAGTTGTCATCCTTTAACCCTGATAGCACACTTTATTCTAAGAATGTTTTTTAAACCTTCCAGTGAGAATATTCTTAGGATCATGCTATATTTCTTCTAAAGAACTTGCTTAAAAGACATGATCCTAAGAATATTCTTACTGGCCTATAGGCAGGATCTTAGAAGGTGCAAAGTTTTAGTGGTAAAAATTAGTCTACTCTAAACATATGCTTAGAATGTTAAGAAAGTAATTGCCATAGAAAGTTCATTTAGGAATATTTCTGTTAAGCATATTTAGTTCAGTTACCTATATAATAGTAAAACTAGTAAACTACGTATAAAGGTATACTTATACCCATAATTAAGTACCTAATTAGTAATTAGTATTAAATAATATGTAAAAAACACAATCCAAAATATTTTTTTATAGTTTGTCAAATTATAACAATATTCGATAACAAAAATACTTTAACTCTAGGTACCGATTTTTTATTTCTGAATTAACATTTTTATGAATAATAATTCTAATAATAATAATTCTCACTATCTTCAACTTCAATCTAATCTGACTTATTCCACAAAATTTTCCAATTTTACTTTTTATGAAATAATGTCATACAACTTATGGTTTAGAGGTCAAATTGTTTATTTTATATTTTTAAATAAATATATATTAATATGCCGCAAAATTTTTTTAAGGGTACGACAAATACATTTCACTTTCATATTATGACAGTGAGGCGTATTTGTCGTCTCCTGAAGAATTTTACGAATGTAGAATACAACATATTAGAACGTGGGTATCTGACATATTTGGAAATATTCTCAAAAGCTTTCTAGAAGCTCCATAAGAAACCTGCTAAGAACATTCCAAAAACGTATTCTTAAAATGTTCTTAGGATGCTTTTTAGGAAGGTTTTAAGAAGCTTTTAAGAATCTAATTGCATCATTAAAAGGGTATCTATTGAATGTTTTAAAAGTCCCCAAGAACATTCTTAGCAATAAGGGAAGGTTCTAAGAATATTCCATTATTCCGGTTCATATCTTCTTAGAAGATTCTTAAAATCAAATTTTGCTATCAGGGAAGGGGACGTAGTATACGCCAAAATAAGATTTCCCCTAAAGGATGACAATTTATTTAACCCCTTATGAAATTAACTGTTTATTATGCTTTAAAAGTATAGAGCTCTTACGCCTGTTCACTCGTCATGACGGACCTCCTCTCCATTAATTGCCATACCTCAAAACATATCAATGAATATGACAAAGTCATGATGCAAAAAGGTACAACTAAAATAACTATCAGCATGTAGACTTCATGAAATTTCCATAAAGGTATGTTGTTCCAATCCCTAACGCACCAAACATACTCATTGTTTATTCCCACTGGATAGTGTATCTGAAAGATATTTACTTTTAAACAAAATGTATTTATTCCAGTGGCGTAATAAGCACCCCCGCAGACCCCGCACCGCGGGGGGGCCCAGAGGGTCAGGGGGCCCAAGGCTCACATCACTCTTTAAAAGTTTAAACCAATAAATTAAAGAAATATTTAATTTTTTAAATATTCAATATAAAAAAAAATTAAAAATCTTAAACAACTAAACGTATAAGTATTTTTTGTTAAAAATATTTATTTAATTCGTTGATTTTGAACTTGAAATTAAATTAAATGCAATACGACAAAATATAAACTTTATAGAATTACCATGGTGGATAAAGAGGCAACCTGTATTTTAGTATTTTAAAATTTTGTATCGACAAAATGGTTCTTTGCAAATTCGCACATGCGTAAAAACTTATTTTAGTTTATGTGTAGTTATCATAACAGAAAATATTTAGGTAATTATTATTTTAAAAATTTTTTTAAAGAATCTTAATAATATATTATATATTATAGAATAGAATAAGATTTTTTAAACCAAAATTAATTAAATATTTTCTGTTTTACTATCAAAAATTGCAGATACAGGCTGTATCTAGGCTGTATCTGCAATTTTTGGCAGTAAAACAGAAAATATTTAATTAATTTTGGTTTAAAAATCTTATTCTAAATACCTTTTTATTTGCAGGATCATTTTCGTAATTCTATAATATATAATATATTATTCCATTCTTTTAAAAAAATATTTAAATAATAATTACCTAAATATTTTCTGTTTATATATATATAATTATAATTAACAAACGATAACTACACATGAACTTAATTAAGTTTTTACGCATGTGCGAATTTGAAAAGAAGCATATTGTCGATAAAAACACATCCATTTTTCTTACCTAATCCTTTTTTATTTGCTTATCTTATGTGACATAAGTTATGACTGTCTATCGTATACACTATTTACCAACCTGTCAAAAATTTTAATTAAAAAAAATATTATGTATATAATATTATTAATATGAGTTTAAAAGTAATATGATAAACTAATTTAAAAATTACCTAAGGGTAATAATAAACTTTTTACTCATTGTAAAGGGGCTCATTAAAATCGTTTTGCGGGGGGGCCCACACAGAATTTGTTACGCCACTGATTTATTCCTAAATATAGAGAACCTTAAATATTAGACACACCATTTTTATTTCTATTACAATATCTACAAAACATCTGGGCGACATTTAATCTTATTAACTTAAATTAAAGACTACCTAATCAAGATAAAAGGTCGACAATTATAATTGGATGTAGCCACCCAACCCATTTTTTTTGAATGACCACATTCCCTTTGTGAAATCTCATTAAAAATCTCTTCAAAATTTAACAGTAGTACTAAACAAAATACTTTTTAATCGTTTAGTTTTCCAATTTCTCGTTACAAATATCAGATTAAAGCATTAAAAATATTAATGAAAAACTGGACAACACAAAATATTTCTAATAAAAGTAAAATAAACAAAAAAGCATAAATAAACAAATTATTTAAAAATTATAAAAACACTTTTTAGCTCTTTAAATTAAATGCAGAAAATGGATTAAATGTTACCCCGTAACTATAATATTTATTGCAAACTTCCATGAATCATCAAGTTACTATGGTTACGATCAGTGTTCAATTTATTTCCAATAATTGGAAGTCAATATGAGAATATTAAAAACGATTTTGTTAAACCGTTATCTGTTGGCAAGGGCGATTTGAAAAGTTGTAAAAATAAGCAAGAAAATATTTTCAAAAATGGCGGATGCACCGGGATATTGAAGGTTATAAAGTTTGTCGCAAACATTTTGTTTGAAATCTAAATTGAGTTTTTATTTAACTTAACTAGTGATATTAAATTTTACTTATAAGTATATATACTTACTCTCTAAAAATAAATTAGTCAAAAATTACTAATTTAATAGTTATTAGTGGCTTATTTTTCACTTGTACCATGGTTAACCATGGAATACCATGGTATCCCAAAATTTAACAGCCAATTCTTATGTAAAATTGTCCCCTGAATCCGAAAATACCATAAAAAATTATTAAAGTGGAGCAGTTTTTGAGATATAGTCAATTCCATATTAAATGGAAAATTTACTATATCTCAAAAACTGTTCTACTTTTTTAACTTTTGACGACATTTTCGGATTCAGGGGACAATTTTGGGATACCATGGTATTCCATGGTTAATCATGGTTCAAGGGAAAAAGCAGCCACTAATAACTATTAAATTAGTCATTTTTGACTAATTCATTTTTAGAGAGTACTTTAAGAATGAAAATCATGCAAAACTAAATTAATTAAAATATTTCTACCTGTACTCTCAGGGTGGGGAAAGCCAAAATAATAGAAATTATCCATATAACCAAAATGATTTTTTTAGCTTGACTTATAGTGCAAATATATTTTGCCTTCATAGGATGCACGATTGCATAGTATCTGGAAAAAATAGTTAGCTTATTTATCTACAGGTCAATAATTTCGATTAAATAGTTCACATAAACATTTTGAAATTAATTGCAATGATGCAGACAAATTATGCTTACATTGTGTTAAAATGTATGAAAGTTTATCTAAGGTTTAATAAAATTATTTTTATTTAATCAATTGAACGTAAAAAATACACTTAAATTAGCAAAAGGCCAATATTGTACAAAGTAGACTTACCTTTCTATACTAATAGCTGTTAAAGTAAGGACCGAACAAATAGCTGAAAGATTTTGCATGTAATGTACAGTTTTGCACAAAAATAAGCCCATTTCCCATGTATAAGAAAACAGTTTAGCTACCTAAAAAAAATAATAACAGGATTTTAAGTTTAATAAAAACCACCTAAATATTTTATTTATGAAAAGATTCTCAAGTTAAAAACATTCTTCAACACTGATGTAATTTTAATACCGAACAAATTTAATTTGTTTAAGCTTCAATAAATTGAAAAACTTTATCCAGGTATATTACTTTAGAAGTTTTACGTGTACAAATTAATAGTAGGTATATTATGTTTTATAAACGCCATTTTAGTTAAGAGTTTAATTAAGCATGAGCGAAGCTTGCGAGCGAAATTTATGGACGACACTCACTTTTTCCTAATTTATAATAAAGCTAACTTCAGCCCGTGACTAAAAAGCTTAAAATCCACTGTTTCTAGCTTCACCTTGTGACTATAACGCCACAAAGGCACAGCTCGTCAATGTAGGAGTATAGTATATTATTTTTTTTTTATTAAGCACGAGCGTGTGTTTAATAAAAACCAGTGTCTAGAGAAGTTTATAAACGAGGGGCATACTATACTTTTTCTACGACGAACACAATACAGAATTTCAAGCCAATTTATTAGTTTTGATATTTGACATCTGTCAACTGTCATCCGAGTTTAACCTCACTTTTCGCAAATTTATAATAAAGCTAACTTCAGCCCGTGTCTTAAACGCCATAAAGTCGCAGCTCGTAAATGTAGGAGTAGATAAAATAAATGTTTAAATTGATACATAATTCGAAGATTTTTTTATTACTTAAAAGTATGCTTATAATAAACTGGCATTTAAACTATAAATTTAAAGATCTAAACAGATCGCAGTTAAAAATAGCGTCTAAACATAAATATAACATTTTTAACTAGTATTACCCATTTATCTACCATAAACCAAAACTTTACTCAATAATAAAATGGAAACAAAAAATATAAGAACAAAATTTTTCTCAACTAAGATATTTACTTACGATCAAATGTATTCACTTAAAAAATTATAATATAAATATTATTAATACACTAAAGTGTGTTATATATTATAATTTTTGGTCTTAAGTGAATATCTTAAACATATGTTTATACTAATTTAAAACAAAATTAATGATGACTTTTCTACTATAAACATTTCATATAAATTTAGAAAGCTTTTCATGTATGTACTCTTGCATTTTTTTCTGTCTATATTTAAAATTAAAAAGAAAATTAACAAAGGATTTATGTAATATTAAATAGTATATGCATTGCTAAAATTGTTTTGTGGCGATGATTTTAAATTGCAAAATATTATTCTATTAATAATGCTGCAAAGCTCTAGAAGAAAATGCTTCGAACCCATAAATTTGCCCATATCTTTAATGCAACAGATAAAACTAAAATCATTTTAAAGCTGGGATCAACAAAGTACTTTTGATTTTTATAAAGAGCGAGCACACTTTGCCCGACACAGTTTTGACATACAGGGTGTCGAAATGTCACGAAATTTTGACGCTACCTTTTATAAAAATAACATGAATTTGAAGTTTTAATTCAATTTTACTTTATACACACAAATCTAGAACCTACTTTTACCTGTAATTTTAAACACACTTTTGGTGCTGGTGACAATACGATCTAGTATACTCAATATTGTAATTTATTAAAAATGGCCGCCGCTCCAAGATGGCGGATTGCCGTTTTCTTTACAAACCCCTTGATAGGGCTATCAAATGAAAAGGTTTGAAGAGTACAAAACGATAAGGTAAGTATTATATACTATTATAGTATGATTATATACATACTATTATAGTATGAGTATATCCAATATGGCGCCTGCCCCAAGATGGCAGATTACCTATTTCTTTCAACCCCCTTGACATGGGTATCAAATGAAAGGGTTTATCAAGCAGAATACGTGACGTCATTCTAATTTTAATATGGCGGAAAGTAAAAAATTAATTAAGATTAATTAAGAAGTAACAAGTTAATTAATAGCACAAAATTACATTATTTTTTACTTTTTAGAGCGTTAAAGCGAGTTTTTTTGCCAATAACTTATTTAATAATTTTGAAAAGGTAAAATACAGTGTATAAAACAGCTTATAAACCTATAATAATCAAAGTTTATTTTAAGAAATTAAATTTATCTTGATGATTGTTAGTTTTCTTTTAAGAATTAATGAAGTAAAAAAGTATTCCGTGCCTTTTAATAATATTTACGGAATTAATTTATGTGAAATAAATAAATATTGCCAAATCACTTCAATTGCCATCTTCTTTTTAAGGCAGTATATAAATATTATTATTTAGATTTTTTGATTATAAATTAGACATAATATTTGCTATTGTTTACCATGAAGCCAATTGAAAAGACATATGTATATGTTTGTGACAATATTTACCCATTATATGAGATAAAAAATAACTATAGATAATGTAAAACTTAATGCTTTTGCTCCTAGTAACAAATTTGCTGTATTTTAATAAAACGTTATAATTTAATTAAATAATTTTATCAGTTCTTTACGTCATAATGTATTTTCTGCTTACAAAAATCGCCCTGTATAATATATTACATTAAATCTTATTTTGTTTATTATTTTATTAACTGTTTATTATAAATGTATAATTTTTATGGCACTTAATAATTGATTAACAAAGAATTAAAAATCTTGCAAAAATATACAGAAAATTAAAAATAAAATAGGCAGGTAAATTTATATCTTGATCTGAAAATAATTTCGTTTGAATGCATATAATAAAATATATTATCTATATTTAGTCTTATTATTCAGTATTAAATGCAATATTGCTTGTTGCATTCCCAATTAATCTAAGAAAACAAACATATTTACAGAAATAAATGTAACTGCATTTTAACTAAAAAACCTACGCAATATCGCCGCTGTATGGGAAATTTAATTAACAAGGGTTATCGTAATTCTGCATTTTTTTATTAAAATATACTTACTTTGACAGGTATGCAAAATAAAATGAGCAACAAATCGGAGGAGGCTAAACTAGATAAAAAAACGTTGGTGACACTGAGCATACGTCTGTATCTAAATGTGGTGATGATCATAAGACAATTGCCGGTAATTCCCAACACAAGAGTGACACCATAAACCATCAGCGTCGGAATTAATTCGTTCCAATTGAATACCAAGAAAGATTCGTTTTTATTTGTGTAATAGCCTCCGTAATCTTTACTCCCCATTGTATACGCTGCAAAATTAAAGGTCTAAATAAATAAATATTGTCTCATCAAGGACTTTATTAATATTATTGCTCGTTTCATTATTTATGACTCACTGTGCGAGTGTTTTTTCTATTAGAAAAACATTAAAATTTAGAGCAGGATATTTTTGCCATTTGAATCATCTTCTGGTAAGAAAATAATTTAAATGACAAATATACATGTTTTTTAAATTATTTAATTATACAAAATATTCTGATACTTACATTCATCTTCAGTATAGTCTGCCATATTAATTAATAACTTCGATTTAAATCTTAAAAAAAGAGCCGCACATTATTCGAAGGTAGAAACGTGAAAAGCGAGACGTCGTTCGTCAACATACAACTCGACGGTAAACTGTTCGGCGCGTCGGGACGCCGTGGCATAATGTCAGAAGTTGCGCTCGAAAATATATCTGGCGTTTCAATTACGCATACGTGTATTAACAAGGGCTCTTTTTTACAGGGTGCGACTCGTTTTTAGCATAACTAACAATTTTTGTTTCCTCGGCCTTCTTATACCCTGACAGCAAAATTTGATTCTAAGAATCTTCTAAGAAGATATGACCCGGAATATTCTTAGAACCTTTCCTTATTGCTAAGAATGTTCTTAGGGACCTTTAAAACAATCAATAGATACCCTTTTAATGATGCAATTAGATTCTTAGAAGCTTCTTAAAACCTTCCTAAAAAGTATTCTAAGAACATTTTAAAAATACGTTTTTGGAATGTTCTTAGAAGGTTTCTTATGGAGCTTCTAGGAAGCTTTTGAGAATATTTTCAAATATGTCAGATACCCACGTTCTAATATGTTGGATTATACATTCGTAAAATTCTTCAGGAGGCGACAAATACGCCTCACTGTCATAATATGACAGTGAAATGTATTTGTCGTCCCCTTAAAAAATGTTGCGACATAATAATATATTTATTTAAAAATATTAAATAAACAATTTGACCTCTAAACCATAAGTTGTATGACATTATTTCATAAAAAGTAAAATTGGAAAATTTTGTGGGATAAGTCAGATTGATTAGATTAAAGTTGAAGATAGTTAGGATTATTATACATAAAAATGTTAATTCAGAAATAATAAATCGGTATACAAATTAATAAATATTTATTTTTAACATAAAATAAAATATAAAAAAAAAACATTTCCTTATAAAATAATTCTTCATAAAAGAAAAAACCAAATAGTTCTTCATAAAAAAAACATTTTTCATTGTATTTAAGTTGGATAGAAGATTTTATGTAAAAGCCGGATAATTTAGATAACTTTAGTAAAAGTATTTCTGTTATCGAATATTGTTTTAATTTGACAAATAACTATAAAAAAATATTTTGGGTTGTGTTTTTTACTTAGTATTTAATACTAAGTATAAGTACCTTTATACGTAGATTAGGGTATATTTTACTATTATATAGGTACCTAACTGAACTGAATATGCTTAACAGAATGTTCCAGGAATATTCCAAAATAAACTTTCTATAGCAATTACTTTCTCAACATTCTAAGCATATGTTTAGAGTGGATTAATTTTTACCACTAAACTTTGCACCTTCTAAAAACCTGCCTATAGGCCAGTGAGAATATTCTTAGGATTATGCTAAATTTCTTTTAAGCATGTTCTTTAGAAGAAATATAGCATGATCCTAAGAATATTCTCACTGGAAGATTTAAAAAACATTCTTAGAACATGGCTAGAAGAAATATAGCATGATCCTAAGAATATTCTCACTGAAAGGTTTAAAAAAACATTCTTAGAACATGACTAGAAGAAATATAGCATGATCCTAAGAATATTCAAACTGGAAGGTTTAAAAAACATTCTTAGAATAAACTGTGCTATGGCGATCTAGAAAATTTTTGTACAAAGATTCAGAGCTATTTTTTCCTTTCCTAAAAGGTCTCTTTGTTTTGCTTCGTTAAATCCTCATTTCCTCCTAACCGAATTTTATAAACCAATGCTTAAATATTTGATTAGTTTCGCGTGTGCATTTTTCAAAATTGTAACTAACAAATTTAGATAAATATTATTTTTGCTGATAGAAGACAAATTTTAATAAAGTTCATTGATAAAAAAATTGCTATCGTCGGTCTTAATTTTAGTATAAATAGTAAAATTCATAACTGAATCTTCACACTTCTCTGACCGATTAACGTGTCCAAGATGTGGTCGCAATTACTTATCTGCTGCCTAGGTAAGTCTTCTTTTAATATATATAATTATAATGTATTTTTTTTACAATTAGCCCATATTATAGCACAATTTTTATTTCTAGTCGGCTTCGCTTTCGCAAACAACAGCAACCCAGCCTGGAAAGACAACACTGAGTACAGCTACATCGTTCGCGGTCGCACCTTAGCCAGCCTCAATGAAGTTTCCAACCAATACACTGGTATCCTCTTGAAGGCCAAATTAACCATCATTCCCCAATCCAACGGCAAATTGTACGCCAAGATTTCCGAATCTCAATATGGGCAAATCCACTCCGAATTGGCCAATGGCTGGAACACATACATTCCAGACTCCCAAGTCGGTTACAAGCAATTGCCCTTGACTGAGAAATACTTCGAAATCGTGATGGAAGAAGGCGTCATCAGAGACTTGATTGTAAGCAAAGAAGTCTCCAACTGGGAAGCCAACATCATCAGAAGCATTGTCAGCCAATTCCAATTGGACACCAACGCTAAGAACTTGATCCCAAGCCACGTCAACGCCCTTCCCGAAGGTCAACAAAACAATGCCGTCTTCAAGACCATGGAAGATACCATTAACGGTCAGTCCGAAACCTTGTACGACATCCACGCTCTTCCCGAATACGTGCTCCAAAGCAAACCATGGTTGGCTCCAAAACACGAATTGAGAGGAGAAGGAGAAGTTATCGAAATCGTCAAGAGCAAGAACTTCACCAACAGCAAACAAAGACCTTCCTTCTACTATGGATTGTCCGGCATGGACCAATGGGAACCCACCACCAACCAAATGGGAGAATTCTTCACCAGAACCTCCAACAGCCGCGCTGTCGTTACCGGAACTCTTAAACGTTACACTGTACAAAACTCTTACACCGTCAACAAGATCGTGATGAGCCCAACTTTGAACGATGACAAAAAAGGATCCGTCGTCAGCATGCTTAACGTGACCCTTCAAGAAGTTCGCCCACAAAGCGAAAAACCACAAGAAGTTTCCCAACCAATCAACTTGGGCGATCTCGTCTACAGATTCAACAAACCATACTCCACCAACCAAGTTCGTGGCGAATACAGAGGACAAGAAAACACCAACCAAGGAATGCAAAGATCCAGCGAAGAAATGTACGTTGCTCACCCAAGATTGTTCCGTCGCTCCGTCGAAGAACAATTGAGATCTGAAGAACAATACCAAAAGCAAGAAAGATACATGGAACAATACTGGAATGAACAACAACAACAGGAACAACCAAAAATGGACAAAGCCCCACAAACCCCACTTTTGCCCTTCACCATTGGATACAAAGGCCAATCCATCAAGACCGAACAAGGATTCAACGTTGTCGAAAAGGTAGAAAAACTTTGCCAAGAAATTGGCCAATACGTTCAACAACCCGAAACCATTTTGGAAAAATTCGTCTTGGACAAATTCACCATTTTGACCCAACTCGTTCGCATCATGAACGCCGATGAACTCCAAAAGGTTTCTCAAAAAGTATACAGCCAGGAACAACATGGTCAAAAGTACGCCGCTTGGATTGCTTTCCGTGACGCCGTCGCTCAAGCCGGAACTGGCCCTGCTTTCCTTACCATCGAAAAATGGATCCAAACCGACAAAATCCAATCCCAAGAAGCCGCCGTCGTTATCAGCACCATGGCCCGCGTTGTCCGCGAACCAACTGTTGAATACATCCGCAAATTCTTCGAATTGATCAAATCCGAAAAAATCCAATCCCAAGATCAATTGTTGAGAAACTCTGTCCATCTTTCTTTCGGTAACCTTTTGCGTAGAGTTTACGTTGAAAAACGCGAATCCCACAACGCTTTCCCCGTTCACGTTTATGGAAAATTCTACAACCACGAAGGTAAAACTTATATGAGACAAACCATTATCCCATACTACCGCCAACAATTGGAACAAGCCATTTCCCAATCCAAAACTGAACAAATCCACATGTACATCCGTACTTTGGGTAACATTGCCGACAGAGAAATTCTCTCCGTATTCGAACCCTACATGGAAGGACAAAAACAATGCTCCCAATTCCAACGTTTGATGATGGTCGTATCTTTGGACAAACTTACCTACGGACACCCCGAATTGGCTCGCTCCGTTCTTTACAAAATCTACCAAAACGCCGGAGAATCCCAAGAAATCAGAGTAGCTGCTGTATACCAATTGATGAGAACCAGCCCACCAACTGACATGCTTCAACGCATGGCCCAAGCTACCCATTTCGACGAACACGACGATGTTAACGCTGCTGTCAAATCTTCCATTGAAACCGCTGCCCAACTTAAAGGAGAACAATACAAAAACTTGTAAGTTACTTTTATTTAAATTTTTAAATTTATTTGAGTATACATTTGTTTATTTAAGGCGTTCCTCTGCCAGAGCTGCCAAACCCCTTCTTACCAAGAAAAACTTCGGCTTGCGTCAGTCTCAAAACTACCTTCGCAGCTATGTTCTCGATGAAATGAAAGTAGGATACAAACAAGTTGTACAAACCATCATTGGACAAGGATCTTTCATCCCCAAATCTGTCAAATATTCTCTTCGTTCCACCCTTGCCGGATTACACCGTCAATTGGTAAACATGCAATACATGGTATCCAGTATCGATGAACTTACCAACGTTTTGATGAAGCAAACCGAATTCTACAAACAAGCTAAAGAACAAACCCAAAACACCGAACAACAATGGAGCAGCCAACAAGTTGCCGGTTTATTGAAATTGAAAATGGACGAAAAAGACCAATTGGAAGGTTCTTTGAACATTGAATTGGGAAACATTCAACAAATCTTGTCCTTTGACAACCGCACCATCGAAAGATTGCCAGAAATCATCAGCGTACTCGAACAAGGATTGAAACAAGGAAAACAATTCCACTACTTGAAATTCGTAGATAATGGAGAATTCACCATGGCTTTCCCCACCGAAATGGGCTTCCCATTCGTGTACACCTACAACACCCCTGTGCTCAGCCACTTCCACGGCAAAATTGAAGCTCAAATTAAACCGGAATCCCTCATCGAAGGTAAATTCCAAATTCCAGAAACCGTATCCATTAAATCCGAAATTAGAGCCACCCTCCATGGTAAAGTACAAGGACACATTTCCTTCGTCGCACCATTCGAACACCAACAATACGTAGCTGGATACGACAAAGTATTCCTTGCCCATGTCCCACTCCGTACTAAGATCGATGTTGATGTCAAGAAAATGCAAGTTCATGCCGAATTCGAACCATTGAACGAACAACAAGGCAAACAACAAGTTATGCACTACAGCACTTTGCCATTCACCACCAAGGCTGATTTGCTTAAGGCTGAACCTTTCCTTGCCAGACCAACCACACAGGTCATCTCCCAAAAATTGAACCAAGGTATGGAATACGTTTTCGGAAAGAAGGAAATCGGCATGGCTCTTCGCGTTGAATGCCAACACGAACAAAGAAGAAACAACCTCTGGTGGCTCACCAAGCTCATGGAAAGCAAAGACCCTCTTGCTCTTTTGAAAATCGTTAAGTTCGGTGCCATCGAACGCAGCCAATTGAACGTCTTCTACTTGCCCCAAGAATCTACCACCCGCAAGGTCGCAATCAAATTGGGATACCAACAAGATTACAAAACCCAAGGATCTGACGAAAGCAACGACAGCAAATTCGACGATTTGGCCCATGTTGCCCAAACCAGCTCCGAATCTTTTGCCCGTCAACAAGATTTCGCCAAGAAGGTATCTGCTGGAATCAAGAGCGTACACACCAAAGTCGTTGATGCCCAAATCGAATTCCAAGGTCAACAAACCATGAAATACACCGTAACCGGTGCCGTTGCCAAGAGTAACGTCGATCAAAAATCCCGTTTCTTGGTTCTCGTCAAATCTGAAAACCAAATGAAACCATTCGAACTTGCTATCGCCGGCAGAAGCCTTATTCCCAACACCAACGGACTCGACTTGACCGAATCCCTCAGGGTCGAACCCCAAGTCAACACCCAAGTTAAAATCGCTTTCGGTGAAAACCTCCAACAATCCGCTTCCAAAATCCACGCTGACATCGAACTCCGCAGAAGCGAATCCCGCAAACAATACTTGCTCGAAGAACCCATGTACCACGAATGCAAACGTCAAATGCAAGAAGGTAACCACCAACTCCCAGCCTGCGCCAACATGACCATCAGAGCTAACAAATTGGACGACATTCAAGTCAAAATCCAACATGAAAACATGAGACCCGAATACACCAGAGCCATCCAACACGTATACAACGCCCTTCGTTACCAAATGACCGTTCTTCCTCACATCGAAATCCAACAAAGCCAACAACAAGACAAACAAATCCGCCTTAGAGCCCGTTTCGCTCCAAACCTAAGAGCCATCAACGTAACTGTTCAAGATGGACAACAAGAAATCACCATGAAAAACATTAACGTCGACGAATTGATGGCTGATGTCTTCGTTGCTCACCCAGTCTTCCACGTCAAATCTCGCCTTGTTGGAAAAATGCTTGGCTACCAAAACTACAGACGTAAGTTTATTTCTTTTAGTTATAATCAAAATTTAATACAATTTATTTATTTATAGCATACTGTGTTATTGACCAAACCGAAGCCAACACTTACTCCAACAGAACCTACTCCATCAGATCTCTTCCAACTCAATGGACTGTTATGATGCAATACGTTCCCGAAAAGGCCCGTCAACATCAACAACCCCACGTTAACGGACAAGAACAATTGAAACACCAACTTGGAAACTACCTTGTTATGGTTCGCCAAAACAAAGAAAACCCCAAACAAAAGGACGTAAAAATCACCTTCAACGAACCAAGAACCCAAGGCAAAATCTTGGACATCACTTTGCAACCAGCCCAAAACGGTCAACTATCCGGTGTCAACCCCAAGGCTAAGGTATTCGTTGGACAACAACAAGTCCAAATCAACGGTCAACAAAGCCACGACATCCAAGGCGATTTGGTCCAAATCTACGCTTTGCCCAACGGTGAAGTCAAAATTGAAGTGCACGGTAAATTCTACGCCATCTACGACGGAGAACGTGTCAAACTTACCCTTCTTGATGGACAATTCCGTGACCAAATCCGTGGTCTTTGCGGACAATTCAATGAACAAAAACCCACCGACTTCCAAACCCCTGACAACTGCATCGTAAGAGAAGAGCAAGAATTCGTCCAAAGCTGGAACGCCGAACAACCACAAAAACAACAACGCCAACACTGCTACAGGCAAGAAGTCTTGTACGCCAACGTGATCTCCAAACAAGATCTTGGACATGGCCAAGAACACCAAAACCAACACCAACAATCCGGTGACATGTGCACCAAATACCAAACCCGCTACGTCGAACAAAACGGTGAAATCTGCTTCACCATCCGCCCAATGCCCGTCTGCAATTGCCAACAACGCGGCACCATCACCAAGAACGTAGCCGTCCACTGTGTCAAGCAATCCAACGTTGCCAACTTGTGGAAGAGCCAAATCCAAAAGGGCGCCAGCCCCGACTTCGGCTCCAAAACCGAATCCAGGAAGATTCAAATGGAACTCCCCCAACAATGTTCCCAATAAGTTAATTGCGACTCAATCTATATTATGATTATAACGAACATTCTAAAAATGTAAAAAAAAATAAACAAATGAAATTAATTTAACCTTATTATTATTACATTACATTCTTTTTTTATCGGCTTCCTTTTTCTCCTTTAGTTCCTTGGTTACCCTCCTTTTTTTAAGGATAAGTTGTATGCAATATTCATTCCATTAACTTAATGCAATGACTTAAATTTAACAGCTTCTTCATTCGTCGGCTTGCAAACAAATTTCTTTAAATCGTTCATTTCAGTAGGATTGGCTTTACATATGAAACATGTCGAAACAGAAGGAGTTTTGTGATTATTTGTGCTGTCTATATCATAGTATATTGTAAAGACCTGCGATATGTCAACCATTTCGTTTTAAATTTTTATAAAAAGTTGTTTTTAATTTTATCCATAATAAGTTTGAATTGATTTTCATCTAAATTTGGAAAAATATCTTTTAAATTTTCATAAAAAATGGTGACGTCTTTGTCATAGCTACCACAGACCATCTAGACTTTTTTAGTTGGCTAAACGTTGGATGTGTTTTATTTGTTTTAATGAATTACAATGGGTTAATGTGTTGTGGACACTTGCGATAATAGAAACGATGGATCTCTTAAGAACCTCAATGTTTTCTTCTTTAGGTAAGTAAAAATGGGGTAAATAAATTTATTGTAAATACACTGAAAATAATTTTGTTCGTAATATCAATAAACACTATTTATCGAAATTTATTTATTAGCACAATGAATATAATCGTTAAGTCAATTATTGGGGGTTGTTGGATGATTAACAGGGTTATTGGTTTAACGAATTACTGTTCATTACATTTTTCTTACGAAGTCAGTAACTTTTTTACTGACCCAATGAATCGTGTTCATTGGGCCAATAAACATAGTACATCAAGCGCGGTTACCTAAATTGATAAACAAAATTCGTTAGATTAATGAATACTGGGCATTAATCAATGAATGCATTCGTTATATCAATGAATCAGTTCGATAAATAAATGAACGTGTACATTGGTTTAAAGAAATATTTTGATTGATATTACGAACAATTGTACGTCAGGACAATGAATTCAATTATTAACTGATATAAGGGTTTTTCTAAGCCAATAAATGCATTCATTGACTCAACGAACATTTATTGACTGATGAATACATTCGTTGGGCCAATAAATGCGTTTATTAAGCTGATAAACAGTACATAAAATATAAGAGATTTTATTGGTTAAAACAAAAATTGCCGGGACATAGGTAAATTTCACAAAAGACACTATAAGATTTATCCAGTCTAGTCCCTAATTACCTAGGCGAAGGAAGGTCTCGTCGCAAAGGATATAGAGGTTCCCTCGCGATACTTATTATTTACGCAAATCAATTTCTTTGGGTTTTATATAAATTCCAAAGGGTAAGTACATTTCAATTTACATATTTCACTATGCACTGCTTTTTTGTCATAATCGTTTTGCACTTTCGTTAAGGATTAGACATTTTAAGCGCCAAAAGGTTGTTTGTTAATCGTTGCAAAATCTATGCAAGGATACAATTTTGATAGCGGAGACGAATTATTCTGTTGAATCTCAACTATCCAGTTCAAATACCATTATAGGGTATTTTAAATCAATTGATCAACCAACTAAAAATATTCCTATTATTGCTCACCAGATCGACAATGATGAATCTAAAAAACCCGGTACCTTCATCATAGATGAATATCAAAAAAATATTGAATAATGAAGCAGCTAAATTTGTCTTGGCCTTACACAATAACATTATTTTTTCTCGAAAGGATGTGTTCAATATTCTTAAAAACTTGGATTCTTTTTTGATCAAAACTTTTAGAAAACTTTTGTGAAATCAATATAAATTTTTAGTTCCGGAAACTGACGGAGAAGCATGATAACTATTGGAAGACATGGTACAGATTAAACGATCTAGAAATGGCAGAAAACTGTGGACAAATCTTGAAAAAATTGTCTCAATACAAAATTCCAAAGGGATATCGATTGGTACGAAGTATGAATTAAAAATCGAATGTTTAGTAATATTACGAGATTTATTTTAGATTGATACGGATTTTGAAGGAGCATTTTCCAAGAGCGACTGCTTACTTAGCCATTGGGAGGAATGCTTTCAGAGGATTTTTGATTTTTTGAAAGTTCCAGGTAACCTTAAAGAAAAGACTACAAAATGTTTGCTGGACAACATTGAGGATGAAAGTCATTTCAATATTTTCAGATGGACGTTATGCGGCAGTATTATGGGCCCTACAACACTACAAATTAGTGTATAAAAATATGCAATGGTATATTTTCACCAACTGTTCATCTTTTCCATTCCATAAACAAGGCAAACATGTTAAATGCATAGTTTTTGACAATAAATGTTTATTTATTTTTAATGTATTCTTTTATTAAGTAGTGTAGTGTATTAAGTAGTGTAAATAGTGTCGTTAGATTAATGAACGAGTTGATTGAATGATTGAGCTAATGAATGTGTTCATTGGATCAATAAACCCGTTTATTAGATCAATGAATATGTTCGTTGATTTTATGAACAAAAATGATTGAGCTTATGAATGTCTTCATAGATTAATAAACCCGTTTATTGGATCAATAAATATTTTCATATAATCAATAAACCTGTTGATTGAATGAACGAATATCTTGATTGCATCAATAAATAAGTTCATTGATTCTACAAACATATCCATCAATTCGATAATAATATCAATAAATATTTTTATTAACCCAATTAAAAAAGTTAATTGAGTGATAAAATTATAAACATCGACTAATGTACAAGTATTCGTTGGCCCAATTAACTCGTTCATCGGACGAAAAACGATAAACAGAGTTCGTTAAGCCAATAACTTTTTTATTAATATTACGTACCTTTTTGGTTCAGTGTAGGTATGTAGTTTACTCCATATACGACTGCGCAGTGTAGCCGTATTCTCAAATTATACTAAACGCTTACAACCAATTAAGGTAAAGACTAAGTCCTGTAGACTAAATTTGGCACTGTAGCTTCCTGAAAGAAATTGTAATCCTTTTTTTTTACTTATTTCCAATATTATATATCAATAAAAACCAATTGTACAATAAATGTACTTACTATAATATTTATTGACCCCGAATAATTCTACCAAGTCCTTGGATGTCGTTAAAGTTCTTCCATGTCTGGTCGTAATGAAGAAATTAGGAAAAAAAACGGTAGGAAAGGGAAACGACAGATAATAAAGTTACAAATAGACTTGTGCCAGTGCGCAACAACGTGCTCCACGTTAAAAACGGGTTGGCACGGATTACCGATGTGCCCGAAACAAAAATCAAAAAGTACCTTCAAGATCCATCTACCGTTTTAATTTAATTCAACAATCTGAAGATTGTGAAATTAAACTAAAATGGGTCTAAATGAAAGAAATAAAAAGGAAGGTTTATATGAAGCTCCTGGGCGCCTGGTTCCTTAAGATGATCATAAGACTGACAAGACTTGAACCGAAGAAAACAACCCACAAAAACTGAC